AAAATTTCAAAATGATTGCACTGCTTTAAAGCCCTTTGACCTTTAATAATGTGTGGATGCACCCTGATGTGCTACGCATTCTCCAACGCGCCTAGGCATGCTTCTGATCAGGTGGTCAATGTCCTCCTGTGGTATCTCATTCCAGGCAACCACCAACTCCTCTCGAAGTGCTTCTAGAGTCTGAGGAGGACGTTACAAATTGAGCAATCTCCTACCCATCATATCCCACACGTGCTCAATTGGGGATAAGTCGGGAGATCTTGGTGGCCATGGTAACAATGTGACATCATTATGTTGAAAGAAGTCTATTGTGACTCTTGCAACATGTGGTCGGGCATTATCTTGTTGGAAAGTTGGATCTGCCAGGGTGTCAAGATAGGGTAACAGATGGGGTTCTAGAACTTCGTGGATATAACGCTGCGCGTTCATGTTACCTCTGATGAAGATTAAAGGTGACCTGGAACCATAAGCTATAGCACCCCAAACCATAACTCCTACAGTGTGATGAACATGTCTTTCAACAAAAAACTGTGGATTCCTTCTTTCACCACGTCGCCTTCTATCCCTGGCACGACCATCGTGCATGCCTAAACAAAATCGAGACTCGTCACTAAAGACAATACTGTTCCATTCCTGATCCCAGAGTGACCGTTGTCTGCACCACTCAAGGCGATTACGTCGGTGTTCTCGAGTTAAAGGGAGGACCCAGTGTGGCCGGTATGAAGACAAGCCAAAACTTCTCATTCGTCGGTAAACACTTCGCATGCCAGTAGGTCTTCCGTGTTCTGCAAACCATTCATTTGCAATGGACCTGGTAGTGGAGAAACGGTCCCTTAAGGCTAATAATCTTAGGCGGCGATCTTCACGGTCTGTTGTTCTACGGCGGCGTCCAGTGCCCCTTGCTCTTTGCGTACGGCCTTCTCGAAGCCATGCCTGACAACACCTAACCACAGTGTCTACACTTCTTTGCACTCTAACTGCAATTGCCCGAAAAGAAAGTCCAGCTTCCCGAAGTCCCACTATACGGCCCCTATCAAAGTCACCAAGTTGACGAAATCGTACAGGTCTCCGTACTCTAGGCATGGTAACCGATCGTAAAGGATGTCAAGAACCAAAATCCGCCAACGTTGATTCTTTACTGCGGCTGAAATATTCATTTTTAGAGCGTTAGTGAATTAAAAAAAAGCAGTATAAAAACCGGAATGTCCAACTGATAAGGCTGAAAATTTGTTCACTTGTTATTTACAGTAAGATAAATACATTCACCAACTTTTATTAAAATAAAACCATGGCCACCAAGATCTCCCGACTTATCCCCAATTGAGCACGTGTGGGTTATGATGGGTAGGAGATTGCTCAATTTGCAACGTCCTCCTTAGACTCTAGAAGCACTTCGAGAGGAGTTGGTGGTTGCCTGGAATGAGATACCACAGGAGGACATTGACCACCTGATCAGAAGCATGCCTAGGCGCGTTGGAGAATGCGTAGCACATCAGGGTGCATCCACACATTATTAAAGGTCAAAGGGCTTTAAAGCAGTGCAATCATTTTGAAATTTTTATCATTTACTTATTATGCTTCATTAAGTACTTATACAAAATTTTATTAAAATAAAACCATTTAAACTGGGTGTTCGGATTTATATGTCACTTAGTAGGTATATCTCATTTTCGAAATTTTTCGCGATGAAAATCCGGCTCTATAATGAATAAATGGAAATACAATAGAGGCGTTGCAACAACGAAGAGATGCCGTTGCATAGATCACATGATGGCCCTTCTGTGCATCTATATTCTCTTTACTCCAAACCCCGCCCTTCTAGCGAGAATGAGTATTTCCAACTCTTTGAGGTTCTGATGATCCAAAATGTTGGCCATCAGTCTGCCTGTAGCAAACTAGAACCTCGAGGCGACCAAAAGCCATGCGCTGAGGTCTTCTCCTCTGCCCGCAGCGCGCAGACGAGAAGACAAATATGTATGAGCCTAAGGCCCGTATCGTCAGTCGTCCCCACAAACGTAGGGCGCGTTTATGGCCTCCTTGATCGTCATACTCCTTTCTCTCCTTCAAAAATTTCTAGATTACACTTGTCCCGTGTCAGCGTCAGCGCTCTCCTATTGTGAAGATATGTTTTCTTTTTAAATTGTAGGAAATTTCAGGCTGATAAAACATGATATAACTCAAAAGCAAGTACAATTTGATGCAAATAGATGTTTGTGACATAACCTCAAAATAGAGGGCTGACACGGAGAAGTAAAAAACTATGACAATCAAGGCCATAAAGGCGCCCTACAATTGTAGGGACGACTGACGATATGGGCCTCTAGGGAAATTGATCGAAAGTCTGAGGAATGGCCACATTAAAACACTATAATGAGCTTTACACCTATGCTGGATTTCCGATAATTTTGTCTGATTCCTGTTTGTAGTAGAAAAGCGTATCGTCACCAATGTTGGTCAGACGGTTATAACTATCTCACTTCGTACGTTAAATTTTTTTAAAATAAAATCCTGCCACAGCTTTAACTGTCACACATCCAACACTGATCTTCCGGTTCCAAAACCTCCGTTCAGTAGTAGTAATAGCTAAGTCGAAGTGCAACCGCGAGGCTAAGCTCCCTCGGATTGCTTGTAGCTCCCACTTCTGATAAATTAATGGGAGATTTATACAGGATCACGGCGTGCTTAGTGATCCGGGCAGCCGATTGATGGATCGCAGCTAAGTGGCCATGGCCGGATGTTCAGGCGAAAACCAAAATTTATGGGCTTGTTACTTGCGTCGGAAAACGGGTGTTATACCCACCACGGATGGAATTAACTAGAAAGTCACTAAAAGTCTAATGTTTGGAAACGTAGTAGTTAAAGAATGAGTGATTAATTATTATCAGTAGCAATAAGAAGTTTCCCAAATGCGGTACGAAACTTCAGAAGGTGATTCGTTAGATCGGTTTAAGGAAAGAAGTTCGCATATATGTCGAGTTGCAACGTTTCTGAAATACGTTACTGTCTAAAGAAAACAATATTCATAACTACCCTTAAACTGATTTGGTTGAAATTTGGTGCAAATATTTGAAGCAATAAGGCGCTCATCAAGCTCTAATTAAATTGAAATTATTGAGTCCAGTGGCGTCTCAATGGACACCACGGCCTTATTATTGAGAGAAACAAGTACGCCAATAACTGTTTCTGTAGTTTTCATATTTTTCAGACTAAGCAACAAAATTACATATTTTTGATCTCCTGCGTTTTCTTCATATCCAGCTTCGTTTTCGAGAAATAAAGAATCACTTTAACTCATTCTAAAAACTATCCATGGACAACACAGACTAAACACCAAAAATTAAAGGTAAACAATTTCGACCCTATTTCTTAAAATAATTGCACCAAGATTTAATTAAGTTGGTTTAAGGATGTTTATGATCTTCTCTATATACCGGGTGCCCTGAAAGTTGGGACTATCCTTTCCAAAGTCAACTAAAATTGCAGTACCAAAGCTAATTTGCGACAAAACAACACCGAAAACGTAAAAAAGTGAAAAAAATTCCTGTTCCTGAACTTACAACATTTGGGGCTGTCTAGATCTTCAACTGTGTTTAACCAGACAGCTTCTGCACGACATAAACAAACATATGCAGCTCTGAGGGAAAGAAACATCGAGGACGACGGCGACGTTATGAGTACACCCGCGGAGTATCAATAGGATCTTGAAGATTCTCATATGGAATCGATAACTACGTTATTGCTCTAGGAACGTGCGGAACGTGCCAATTCCGGTATTCCAAATGTGGAGACGACTGATTTTCAGACTGAGTCACATAGTATTTGTATATCAACATCTCTCGTTTTGACATATGAGGGGATTGGAAATATCTCGGTATCTCAAAGCTTTTGGTGTATATATTACTAAAAGGCATGCTTGCTATTGCCTCACCTAAACGCTTTGTAAAAGAAAATCCTAACTTTGAGGACATCCTGTATAAATGTGAATTTCTATGAAGAACATGTCGGAACCACATAGAACGGAGAAACTTTCCTTCTCTGCGGGCGCGCTTTGAAATAGTGGCGGTTGGGTACTACTACGAGGGTACTACTATATGTATTCTAAATATTTACCTCGACGAGGACTTCATATAAGTACACATACTAATTGATACCCGAGGAAGGTTATAGGCAAGGTTTTATATTCAAACTCCTCGTCGACTTTGCAATCAACAATCGCGGCAAGTACCAAAATCTCCACCGTCAGCGTCAGACCGGCAACTGCGCGGCTTGCCGTCGCCCAACCCAGTCTGTAACCGTCAAGCGATTCAAATGCTTTATTTTGCCGAAACTGTTACCCTTGAGTCATAGGTTTGATGATTTACTGACAGAAAACGTTGTTACAGACTCCCTCCCACGTGTTGCATCTTTGATGGCATTAGTGAATTAGTGCCAAATTTTGTGCATCAGAAATTTGGTTATTTTATTGGTGTCGCGACCTTCGCGTTCCGCTAGCAAGACCGCAGACCAGACAGATAGTATTTGAAATATACCTTTTTTTTAACTCGATGTACTGTATCTGAGAAACGAAGCAATTCCGGGAATATGTTCATAGGAACTTTCTTCTTTAAAATAACCTAACAAATCACCCTCTGAAGTCTCGCACTCACCATGGGTATAATTACAAGTCACCGATACTCAAATCTGGTAACTACAGCCACCACACATCACCTTTCAACGTGACAAAACGTCCTGGAAACATTTATCTCAAACCATTCATTAAATTTTGGGCTGTGTGAGCTGTAGCTGCATCTTACCAAACCCAAATTGTAACAACTCGTTGAAGAATAGGGAGCAGGGTACGGAGCTGCAGCTCACATAGATGATGAAATCAAAAACATTCTTGTTCTATATACTGTTTAACACTACTTGGTTGGTTCTGCTACAGCCTTGTAGAAAACCCAAGGTGAACCTACATTTTTTCGCCCACTTCTCACATTAATAGGTATCTCGCTCTTTCCAGATACGAAACCAAAACTGAAAAACCACTACCGCGCACACCGTTTGTCCTTCTGGCTGAACCTGGTGCCGGATCTACACAGGCCGGGCGGTGACGACGTGCCGCCTTCTCACCACCGATTGCCCGAAGACGGCGACGCCCCTCTATTTCCCGCGCCAAGTCCGACGCCGCCCAGGCGGTTAACCACGCCCACTGCGCCCACTAAAGATGCGCCCACGGGCGGGAATACCACGGCAGCGTCAGAGGGTGAGAGGGTGGAAGAGTTGGGAGGGGCGGCTGCTCCTACGACTGTGCAACCCATGGAAGACGGTAAGTTGATTAATGTGCACTGAGAGGATGTGGTCAATTAAACAGTTGTTCTGGGAAATTTTCAGTGTCCCTTAATGGAATGCTTAATTACTGAGCAAATCATATATGTACCTGTTTTGATAGTTTAAGTAATTTAGTTTATGAGAAAAAGGTAACATTAAAATAATTAAGCAACTTAATGAAAAACGTTAAACTGTTTATTTGAATCGCGGGCTCGGGAGGACTATGCCCTTCATTCGCGAATGCTTAGGATAGACACACTGCAGGTGACGCACTTCGAACTGCTCAGTTTCATTTGTGATTTTCGCGAGGAGCTTCACTTTCGAGTGTTGTCGTTGTGAAGTGGATCAGTTATGGTGATCACGTGAAATACTCGAGCATAAGGAGCTGCTGACATGACGGAATAGCAGGAACTTTGAAATTTTATTTACGCAGCCATATGTACCTCAATGAAGGGCATATATACCAAATATGTGCTTAACATAGGCTTGATGTGCTTTTCTTTTATATTGTATAATGTATATACAGGGTGTGAAGTTATTACTGGATCAACTATATGTGTGGTCCAAAATTTTATAGTTCAGGAGATATTTCCAGTTTTGTGAAATTTCGAAAAAAATTAATGGAATGGATAATGAAATCGCAATTACAACTAAACCATTAGGTTTAAAGCTAAATAGTTAGTTTTAGCAATGGTTATGTCACTTTTTAGCTCAAAAAATCTTAAATTCGTTTTTTTATGAAAAGTTTCTTCTATCCCTCAACATTGGAGGGTGGTAAAAAAACTGAGGGTGTATTTCATTATGCATTTTATTGTAAAAACTATTACAATCCATGTAGAATAAACCTTGAAAATTTCAGCTTACTGCGATAAGTTAAAAAATCTGTATGTTTGACGCAGGTGGGTATCTATAACTACGAGCCCCTTCCCACTTCAGTTGGCCCACTTCATGATTTGTACCAAAATATGCCTTTATAAACTAAACATGACGAAACTATTTACTTCCAAAACAATTTATTTTCTCGAAAACATTTTAGATAGACTCTAGTCGTAAAAATACATATTTGAAATCACTTAGACCTATAACTAATAGAACATCTGAACAACTAAACAATGTGCGAATAAACGCGCGAAGTTAACAAAGCAACAATTGAAAGATTACCATTGGGTAGCATCACCTTCATTTTTTATTACGGCTGAAATTCTTTGGGGCATAGTGTTAACCAAGTTTTGGCAAAAATTTGGTGTAAAACAATCCCATATTTCTTGAAGCTTTTGTCTCAGTTCGGTGATTGTACGAGCAGGATGTTGTCGTAGAACCTTTTTCATCTCGTGCCACAAAGTTTCAATAGGTGACAGATCTGGACTGCTAGAAACCCATTTCAAAAGTGGTACATTATTTTCTTCCATCCATTTTATAGCCTTTTTTGAGATATGGCACGCTGCACCATCGCTGCAAGATCTTGGCCGGATGTCAAACATTCTGCCATCACTGGTAAAAGCGATTCTTCTAATATTTGTTTGTATCCACATTTCCAAAATGAAGTTTTCCTACTCCTTTTGATGGCATACTGCCCCAGACCATAATGGATGCTGGAAATTTCACTTTTCTCTTCAGACAGTCAACATGGAATGCTTCATTTTTTTGCGAATAACTCTACTGCGACTATTACCAATACAAACTTCGAATCGGGCCTCATCACTCCATTGTATTCCACACCATTGTCTGTTTTCTTTAGCCTATCTAAGCCGATTTTTCTTTTGCAGTGGAGTTAATAGTGGCTTTTCTCTGGCCTATAAACAAGTTGTGCAACTTTAGGGTTTTACTTCACTTTTTTTATAAGAAAACTTACCTTGCAAGTGCTAAATCCCAGTTTGTGGGCCTCTCTATGAGTTGTGGACCTCGAAATTATCCTTCCAACAGCGTCACTCCACATAGCACTTAATTGTAAATAATTGGCACGCCTGTTTTTCACGATTATTCTTCTTAATGCTCTTCGGTCGGCATTTGTGATTTTTTCACATATCGTGGCTTAATATTAACTGAACCGGTTACGTTATATCTTCTAACATTTCCCACACTGTACCGCGATAAGTCTAACAAAGTTGCAATTTCTGAGTTTGATTTCCCAGAATTAAAAAATTCAAGTATCAGTAACCGAATTTTCTCACTAATAACCTTTCCTCTACCCATTTTGAAAACCTTAACTACCCAAAACTATTTTAAACGTATTCTGACAGCTGTGATTAATAAAAACAATTGTCATGGGTTTTATTTTTCACAGCCACCTATGCGTTATAGACTTATTGACTTATTGAAATGAAAATAGGTTGATATGCTTTAATTGCAACATGTGTTATTTTTATGTTGCAAATTTGATTAGGGGGTGATAAAGTTGCTGTTTTCTACTATATATTATCAAAATATTCATTGTTAATATTTTAAACCTATAACACCCTGCTACATTTTTATTATTTGTGTTTGATAAGAAAAAAACTAAGGTTTCAATAGTTGGGCCAACTGAAGTGGGAAGGGGCTCGTACATGTAAACAAGAAATTCTATTTTACGAGCTACAGTCCAAACGACTTAATGGATTTTGACATATGAGGTACTTCGTCCTAACAGTGATATCTAAGATTTCTCAGAGCGCAGTTATAATATACAGCTTTCAGTAAAATGCAATTTGTCTTTTGAATTTCAAATACTATCCAACTATCCTTTTAAATCTAAATAAAATAATTCATTAAAACTAGGCAAACACTTTTACCTAAACTAATTAAACAAATTCAATAGATGTAATAAAACTGTTTTACTTGAAGCAGTTTGACTTTTTTTAATAGTTAATTAATTTCAAATAAATTGGTGTAATCAATCTAAGTAAACGGTTTAGCCAATTTAATTAAACGATTGCGTTTTCATTTAATTATGTTAGTTTCATTGATTCAAGTAAGCTGACTTAGAAATCGGAGTTTAAATAAATTAATTACAGTTATTAGCTGTCACATAGTTGATTAAAATTTTTAGTTGGCCTGATTAAAATTTTAGTTGGTCTAATTAATTTTTGTTCTTAGTGTGATTCATTTAAAATGAGGATTTTTGGGGAGAAAATGATGGGTTGGTAACAAAAACACTGAGGTTACAAGAAGCTTGCCTACGAAGACAGTTCTAAAAGGACGCTAGTGGAAGTATTTTTTTCCATCAGTCCAAATAAACCCAAATTTCCACATTTTTTCCTGACACGGGTTTCTGAATCGATTTATATCGATATTACCACTTCTAACTAGAGCTAGGGTGGTTTTTAACGTATCTTTTCAAAGTGACGGTACCGTAGATAGTATTGAAGGAATCAATTCCGGTCATCTGGAAGAAAGTAATTCCGTTGGTTTCCAACCCGATTTCCTAAACCGGGTTGTTTGTGAACGAACTGACAAGACAACTTTATTTTCCAATCTGCTTCATGATGGAATCTCCGGTAACTTTCCAGTAAATCGTTCTTGATTTGGATCTTTTAATTTTAGAGCCATTATTCGAATCCACAGCAGTGTATCTCTTAAACAGTTCGTCCAAGGTGGATTTTCGTAAGTGTTGGTATCGAAACGGGTCCAGAAATCGAGACCATCAGAGTAAATAAGGTATCCAGAACGAACCGAAGGAATAAGTTCGGAGACCGGAATCGAAAACATGGAATCGAATCATTAAAAGAAACGATTAGGCCCAAGACTATTGATGAGATAGATGGAATTTTAAATTCACTGACAAATTGCATTTCGTTTGCATTTAAGGTCAAATTCAAGCCCACTAATTTGAAACGGACTTTGAAACATTAACTTCCGGTTTAAGCCGTAGATTACTTGATTGATTTTTCTCCTTGTTCCAGGGTTCGCAGCCTACTCCACTGCGCTCAGCGTGACGATAGCAATAGGCTGTTCACTGCTGATCCTCAACGTGCTTATCTTCGCTGGAGTTTACTATCAGCGCGATAAGACTCGGATGGGGGAAGTCGCGAACGGCGCAGAAGGAAGAAGGAAAAGAAACGAGAACGGGCAGATGCCGAATAACATCTGTGGGGAACTGATGGAAACAAGTATCGTTGGCGTTAAGGCAGATCCTGCCACAATACTCGGTAAGTTTCATGAAAGGAAAGAAAAGCTCAAATAAGTTCGCCAGCTCACGGCTGTAATAGTAATAATTCCGCTACATGAAGCTTGAGACATTGTTCTTTTCCATTATCAAGTATTACTCCAAAGTAGTAGTTAACCACAGAAAAAATCGTTCTGTTAATTAAAGCTCGACCTTGAGTCAAGGTCAAATAGATGCATCTGCTCAAGACTCCAGAGTCCAACGTACCCCGTGATCTTGGTCATAAGTACTTACTTGACCGTTAAGAGATTTAAGACTTTAAGACGCTGTTTTTACAAATTCTCTTAATTCCACTACTTATATCTTAAGCGTTCTATGTACTCCCAGACCCTGAAAAGCGATGCTTGACATTGGGCAGGATCAAACTCTCAGGAACTTTGCTGTTGAATACCCTTTGTTCTACTACATATAACATGGCTTGAGCAATTATGTAGGTATGGTGTAGTAGACGTAAATGAGTGATAAAAATGGGCTACTGTATGTATATCGTTGAGCATGAGACCTAATAATCTATGCCTGAGACCAAAACGCGAAACTAGTGACAGCATTCATGCTGAAGATGTGTCACTTGAATTCAAAATGTAAGTATGAGTAGGAGTGAGACATGTGCGTAGTACCTCCTGTGTTCTGTCCTGTCCTCTCTAAATCTGACGTCACAGCTACAGTAAAATATTCTGTTTGAGTAGGGTAAACCGAGGAAAGATGGGCATATTTTTTTAATCGTCTGTAATACTTTTAATAATTGGGTTTTAACAAAAAATATAACATTTTAGGGTAGGGCATGGTAATTATTATTTGTTGCTCTGTGCAAATTTATTTTCCTATTGTTAATAAATATCGGTATTTTTTATATGTGGGCCATCTCTCCTATAGTGTTTAGTAGAGATGACCATATCATAGAAGGTAAGATGGCCATATAAAATTTAAAGACAATAATGAGTTTTATAAGAATACTCGTGAAATACCTATGAGACTTTATTATTACATATAACAGAAAAAAAAACTAAAAACTCAATAGAAAAAACTTTTGCCAAAAAAGTAACTTACATTAAAAAACTAACTAACTTAGTGAATCAACTATAAACCACTACAAAAAAAGAACAAAACAACATATTTTTTATAAAAAAACATGGTAATAGTTCAAGAACAATATTATATATATATATATATATACAGGGTGACTTTGAAGTTGAGTCATTAATTTTCAGATAATGATTGTAGAAGGAAGATAAACCAAAATATGTGTGTAAAAATAAAAAAAAATTTTTACCTTGTTTTATAAAGTATCCTCCCAACAGGTATTTCAGTGCGGACCTGTATTTGATCGTGAGGTGCCCTGTGAGGTCTTAAGTCACCTGATTCACGAGCCCGTTGTACTACATTAACAAAGGCACGAGGGGTTGGTTGCACTCGATTGGGAAACCGATCCGCATAAACATGTGCCATTTTTTATTTCGTTTGAGCCACGCAACAGACACTATTCACACGCGACTGACACTGAATGTATGTATAACTGAACTGAATGAAATAAAAACGTCGTTCCAAATTCTTTCGCTTTTTTGTTTCCCATGCGATGAACCGATAAGGTGGATTATATCCGTTGTTGCCAAACACGAGTACATGATATTATTATTGAGACAGGGCGGTACTCAAACTTCCAAAGGGCTATAACTTTGTTACTTTAATTTTACCAGAAAAATGGTAAAGGAAAAAAACATTTCTTTTGATCAGATCTACTCACTGTTAAAATAAATGACTCAACTTCGAAGTCACCCTGTATATATATATATATATATATATATATATATTTAACAGTATTCATTGCAGATTTCAGTTGCTCCTCGGTCCATTTGGCCCTCTCCAATGATTTTCTTTTATAAATATGTGGCATCTAAAATAAATATAAATGATCTACGATGGCCATCTTAGATAGGAAATAAGTGGGCCATCTCTCCTTTTCTTCGAGGAAAGATGGCCATAGCATGATTTAGATTTTATATACGTTAATTCGCGTAAAACGCTTTGGCAACACAAAACACACCACACATGGTAAAATAAACACCAGACGGATTGTTAAAAACTAATAAAATTTTATGAAATTTGGCTAGCGGAAAATTGTATTCAAAAACTATTGAACCCATGTAAACAGTAATTTAAAATAACTTACCTTTAAACTTAGTTAATTGACTCAGAGTTTCTAGTATAGCACGATCACACAACAGTACATTACTCCTTATTGAAAAACGCCCTCTAATAACTATTTAGGAAAATATCGAGTTGGGCCATCTCTCCTCTATGGCCATATAACCTCGATTTACCCTAATATATCACTAGTCTCGCGACAAGGTCCCCGGTCGCGGCCTCCGCCATGGTCTCATAAAACACTTAATAAGCATCAGTTGTTTTAAAGAATACAAATTTTCCCCTTGCTGCTAAAAAACAGATAGCTTTGTGTATATTCCATCCCCGTACTACTAAGTAGTGGTGTCATGGATCGGTATTTTTCAATTCCCATAATGCCCATTACTTTCATTACATGTAATCGGTACAAGATACTCCTGTCTAGAAAGTACCATCTACCAATAAATATTCAAAAAACGTATATCTAAGAATTTCAGTCAGATTCAACCGACTCCCACGAATTTAAAAAGATATAACTACGGAATTGTCCATGTTAAATTAAGTTATCACTAACCCCCAAGACATTTATGGACCAACACCAATTCTAATACAAAAACTTAGTCCGTGTATTTCCAGGCCATCATCACTCTCATCATCAACTACCGCCTCCAGAATTCGCCGACCTGCCCCAGAACAACACGTCGACGTTGCCCAGGCACCCGCCGCCCCCTCCAAAACTGTCCAAGAGCAACATGAACGCCCTGGCGTCAACCGGAGGCGGTCCAGCATCTGGAAGGCAGCTGAACGAGAACCAGCCGTTGCTGGCCACACACGGCATACAGTTGATCAACACTGGGACATTAACCAAAAAGAACACGCAGCTGAACGCTATGACCAACGTGCAAATGGACGAGTTGAGGGTGTGACGACTGATCGGGGAGGAGAAACTTTATACGGCATTTTGCTCAAGGGCGCGGGACCGATAGATTAAGAGTGGGAACGATAGCGAAAGGGGAGTGGCTTCTCAGGCAGAGATAGAGCATCGTACAGGGTGGTGCATAAGTAGGTCCAGAAATTGAAATTGGTTGTTATTTCAAAAAGGTTCATAAACGAACTGCTATAATAGATGGGTTTTCCGCTCTTGCCAACCATAACTAGCTTGAAGATTGACGAATTGGAGGCGTAACGACTAATCGGTACGAATGAGCCTTAAGCGTGTTGCTCAAAGACATGGATCTGGTCAACGGAGGGGTTAGTAAGAAAGGGATGGGCGATCGCAAGCTGGAATGGTCCAAGCTGATTGAAAACCAAGTTAGGTTACTGAAAGAGACTTTCAGGTTGTTCTTCCAAAATAAACGCCTCGACAAGAAATGCGGTTCAGTTCGGAGCGGGCAGCTGTTGCTGTCCACGCACTGCATTCAATTGATCAACACCGGGACGTTAATCAAAAGGAACACGCAGTTGATCGCTATGATCAACGTGCAAGTGAACGAGTTGAGAGTGTGACGACTGATCGGGGAGGAGGAACTTTATACGGCGTTTTGCTCAAGGGGGCGGGACCTATAGGTTAAGGGTGGGAACAATAGAGAAAGGGACGTTGCTTCTCAGGCAAAAGATAGATCATCGTACAGGGTAGCGCATAAGTAGGTCCGAATATTGAATATTGACGAGTTGGAGGCGCAACCGATAGGGTGTGGGGTGCGGTCAATAAAAAAGGGATGAGCGATCGCATCTTAGGATGATCAAAGGTGGGCTTCTGAACGATATTAACTAACAAAATCCTGCTATTAAAAAGAGCACGCAGTTGAAAGCAATGACCAACGTATAAATACACGAGTTGAAGGTATGGCGACCGATCGCGGAGGAGGAACTTTAGGCGTTCGCCTGTAGGAAAGATAGAACGCTGTACGGAGCTGTGGATAACTTATATTGAAAATGTAGCCAATTATATACTGTTATTTCAAAAAGATTCATGTTTAGAAAAAAATATCAGTGAATTTTTGTGGTACGTTTGCAAAACTCTGATGCTTTGAACGATGATTCGACGGTCTCTAAACGGCATGCGCAGTATAAAGGTTTCTAAAACAAGTCGTTGCAAAGTGGATCTAAATTTAAATTCTGAAGTACCTTTGTTTAGAATCTATAGAATGGTTCCCTTCAACAGAGACACACTTAAAAAGCACCCTGCACATGATGAACTATTTCCGCTCCATGATAAAAGAGAATTGGAGAACGAAGATATAGAGCATGTGAGATATTTTAAACATGGGCAAAATGATGACACTGTTTGGTGAAGTGAATTTATGTGAAAATATGTATAAAATCACGTATAAAGTATGAGTAGAGAAGGATCAAGGACTAACATGATGATCATACCGATTAAAACCTACTTGGAAAAGTCAAATTGAAATCTTGAAAGGCATACCTGTGCAAGTAACATATTTCCTTGATATATCATCGCTGTATAGCTCTGGATATTGGATTAACTGAAAAATAATGTAAAGCAATAACATCCATCATCTAGTCTTCGTTTGTTCTTAAACTCGAAATGTATAAAGGTTCACACAACATGAATAGAGAATGGATAGTGATCACAATTATCAAAAACTTCGTTTCTGCATATTCTTGAATAGAACTGTTACGTGTCTGTAACTTTTAAGTCGAATACGAATTGTTCTGAATATTCATAAGAAAAATGAACAAATAAGTTTTTCATCGCTACGTTGAAAAAATCCAAAATACAACCAGGGAGGGCGTAAGTTAACCTGAGATCTCATCAGAAACTGGTAGTTCCATACGAGCAAAATGAAAAATACTGATTTGTTCACTTTTCTATACGTAAGAAGGAAGAACAAAAATTAACTGTATAACACCTCTCAAATCTAAAGCTATAAAAGTCTGAAGTCACCTTATAAAAGAACAAGAATTCTGCAATAATAAAATGCATTTTTATATGAATGATATTTAAACGATTTTTGCACTTTGTATTGGATGTCATACTTAAGGATACTAAATATAATGTTTAGTACTGGATAGTGCTTCACTGGACAATGTTCAGGATCAAATCATCTGGATTCACATAAAATGCATTTAATTATAAAGTACGTCAAAGAATCAACATGAAATAACCATTTTGCTACAGACACGGTTCTATATGTGGTTTAGACGATTTTTATAATAAAACCTATACGCGAATATGTTGGATTATTCGTTATTAGAAAAATTATACTGTAGATCGGTGTTAAAGCACATCAGGTCTACGTTGAACACTTTTGTAAAAAGATTTATATTTATTAGGAACGTGTGCAGACAACGCTGGAATGAAACTCTATAAGAGGTACACGATTCCTGTCTGGGTACAACAGTTTTGTTCAAATTAACAGGGCAATGCTTTCAATCAATGAAAAAATTATATACTTACTACTATGCTGAGGAGAATACAAATGGCAACCTGGCAAAAGTAAATAAGCTTAATAAGATGTCAAAATAAAAGGCAATCGAACATAGATTGTCTTCTTTTTCTTACCGCGACTCGCCAAGCAGTTGGCAACCCATCATACCTTTATCTAAAGATGTGGACAGTTGTAGATTATGGCTATAAACAGATTGTCCATGTTTCCACCGTGGGTAGCTAACCAACCAGAGGATCATGGTATGCCGTGCGTTAACAGCGCACCGTTCCAAGGGGTAGCGCAGCACCAACCCATTTATAGGTACGGCACGCTAAGCCCAATCCTTAACACCACAGTGGGTATATTTCTCCGTCTCTGGTATAAACCGAAACGAATTAGAGGAATAAATAGAGAAAAATACAAATACAGATGTATAATATCTCCTGTTTTTAAATGTGATGACAGCGTTGACACTTCAGAAATACCTCACTGACAAGCATTCTAAAACACTTTGCCTAGCAACGTGCTTCATTGGTAACGTTGCTGGCATTTCAGAGTCGCCAACAAGGGTCGCTAGATGCCACAGGTAGGCGACGGTGTAGCTACAGATCCTGGCGACTTCGCCATACCGTCCTAGTCAGGGAGAAAAAGAAAAAAAGAAAAGAAAGTTGAGTGAAGCCAAGGAACCGCACAGTGTTGTGGTTGGCGACATAGCAACGATTGTCACTGAAGTCAATGTCAGTTGCATTTTTCCTCCACGTTGTCAGGTGTGTCCTCTGTGTCGAAATGCGAAACAGGCGCTCCAACGGTCACTTTACATAACAAATACATTTTTAAAGACTTTTATTTCCTACAACACGAACGCCACGTTTCGCTGGTACAAGGAATTTGCGCACTATTTAATTTGAGTTGAACTGTACATCAAAGCAAACATGAGTTTCATTTAAGTGTTTTGTAATGTTAGTGGTGAGATGAATGGATGCTCTGTAAATACACTATAATAAAAATGTTAAATAAACAATGGATAACTCTTTATTTTAACTGGTTTCCTTTAAATCGATAATCGAATCGCAAGAAGAGGTAATCAGCCAATAAGATGACTGATAAGATGGAATTCCTTCAATAGTGGACTTTGTAGGCGTATAGCTACAAAATAAAAAACAATTTATTTTGGCACTTTATATTTTTTTGAACCAACACATAGTTTTTCAAGTATTCCATATTCGTATTTACATTTTTACAACAGGAGTTGTTAAATGTTAACTATATATAGGTAAAGGTAAGGAAGTTGTATATGAGCAAATTGTTGATATAATATCATTGATTATTTATTTGCCTCTTAAAAATAGAAGTTCGTGATCCTTTTAATAGAAAATGATTTCACTACTGGTATTTTAAACAAAGGTTTTTCCACTTAAATAAAGCATCTTCTATCACTGAGAATACGTAAGTGGCATAATGAGCAATGTGCAGTATTTTAATCAATGATATCACAAACGTAACTACTAACCTAAAAATTATTCGTTACACCATGTTCCTAATTTAAAAAAAAAAACTTGAACTTAAAACCTACTGATGATCTCAGAAATCCTAATTTGTCTTGAAATTATTCTCGATCGGATTTTTTGTACAATGATGTTGATATATCTGTACAGTATAAAACTAGAACATATGTAACGAATAAGGTAACATACTATCAAAAAATAGACACTACATATCTACTATAATTAAAATAGAATGATTCGGTATATCTGTCATCAGGCCCTCCAAGGTTGAAAAAAAGGTAAATGTAAACGTATAAAAAAAACTTCTAGACATTATTGATCATTCTATATACATGATATATCTTTAACGAAATTCACCTCAATCCCAAAATATGTGATAAAATATTTTCTTGTAAAATGACAAATATACCGTATCTATCTTACAAATACAATAATACTATTTGGCACAAAAGTATAACATGGAAGCATTAAGGAAGAGTTCGGATAATATACATCTGAATATAAAATGGAGGTATACTAGAAAACATGTTGAGCAAGGACTTAAAGATTTGGCACATTTCCAACAACAAAAAATAGCTAGAATATCTTTTTGGTGATTGAGCCGAAAATATGATTACATTCAAAACTGAATGAAGTTCTAATACTCACTTTTTTCTCGAATATCACAAAAATTTTAAATAACTTACTTATAGTAGCTCTCGCCTATTTGAGGAAAAAGTAATTTGAGTCCATTTGGCACCAATTTATAAGTATTGGTTATTATTTTTGTACATTAAAAAGATTATACCATTGGCCACACCAATATTCGCGTCGTAATTTGGTGACCATTGCACATTGTAGCCAAAAATATATCTCTTCGTGTTTTTACATATCCTTCTTACAGTCAGTCTGAACATGTGGTCTCAACTATCTGGAATATCACTTAGATGAAAAATATCGGCAAAACAAATATTATCACCTATAATTGACATTTTCTATACATATTATTTCCATAATTGCGATGTATGGCGATTGCGTTCTTTGTTTCATAAAGACATTGCTTTGGATATCCAAAATTTAGTATTTGCGAATATGTCCTCGTGCTTTGCATCAGACAAGACTTTCTCAAAACGTTTGATGATTTTGCGATATTTATTCTTATTTTTTATATTGCTGATGAAGTATTTCGAATAGACCAATAAGACCAATATGCATACTCAAACCGTTTGCAATTGCCGATGAGTTTTATCTAGTGATGACAAAATGAAGAATAAATAAATCGGTACGCTGATTATATTGATCAGTATATCGTTCTAAGTATCCAGGTCTTAGAAAATATAGTTCAGCTCTCGAAGTAGGTGTACACTTGTATCTAGTACCAAAAGCATTCGAAGTTCATCTTGTAGTAGTAGTCAAAGCGTTCAGGTTACCTAATCGAAGTATTCGGAACATATTGCTTTGAAAGGCCTTGCAAAGTACTGGAAGTATCCTAAGTACCCGAAATATTCGAAATAAATTTTCGTTATACTGATAGCAAGTAATGATTGAAGAAATACCGGAAGCGTGTACAAGTTTCTGCGCTATCTATATGCTGCATTCAATTTCATTCCTTTTTCAATCAATTAAAAAC